CAAGAAAACTCAGCCCATGACAGCATGGACACAGTCCCACTGTCTAGAAGATGAAGCCCTGACAGTCCTGAAGAGACCAAGCCCCAGCTAGCTGTGCAAGGGGCCAAGTCCATGGGCAGAATGCACCTGTGCCCTGTGGGTCAGAGGTGGATCTGGCTCCCTGCTGTGGACCATCAGAAAAGTTCAGGGGATGCTGAGTTCACAAAGCCCAGAGACCTCATCCTGAATGCAGTTCTGCTTTATGTAGTGCCTTTGGAAATCCAAACTGAAATACAGCCAAGTAGCTCACTATATTGTCTCAAAAACTGGTTAAGGAGCAATTAATTAAAAAACATATAGAATGAAGAGAACATAGACACAGACTTTACAACTGATAGCAAAAGTCACTCAAGATTGCCCATAGACAAATTTAAATGGCAAAACTATATAAATCTTAAAAGGAAAAGGGAGAAAATCTGTAAGACCTTGGTTCTGGTGATGAGTTTAAACTCACAACAAGTGACTATCTACACATCAACACAAAATTAATGACATGGACTTTATAGAACTATAGACATCTACTCTGTGAAAGATCTTATTCATAAAGGCAAAAAAGAAATCACACACTAGCAGAAACTATTTGCAAAATGCGTATCTGATAAAGGATTTGTACTCAAGTTATACCAATAAAATCTAGAACAAACAACCCCATTAAAAATGGGTAAAGATAGAAACAAACATCTGTCTAAAGAAGGTACACCGACAGAAAACAATCATACAAAAATATATTCAAGATCCTAGTGGAATACAGGTACGGCCAACTTTGGAAGACAGCTTGGCAGTTTCTTCCAAAGTTAAACAGTCTCAACTTAGAATCCAAAAAAAATCATCTCTTAAATTCAGTCAACTGCTTTGAAAAACTATTCCAATAAAAACTAACATCAAGTAATGCACAGGAGGTCTATTCATAATGGCTTAGAAACTCAAGTGATCAGTATGCCCTTCTGTAGATGAACTCATAAGCAAAGTAGTGCACATTCATGCCACGGGGAGCAGAATGTGTCACCCCCCAAATAGGTCTGTAGCCTAATGACTACTACAATCTGAGTAATTTATTAAAAAAAAAAAAAAGACTCTCAGAACACTGAGTAGAGATTGCCCTTTTGTGAGGGAGATTTCCATTTCTTACAGAAAAAAGTCAATTACGTGATCAAGTAAGCGGTAATGCCACAGGATGGAATACAGGATGTAACACAGGATCTGTATTAGACATGTATGAAAACACTCAGTGATGCTGGTGGAGCAGAAGGTGCAAGCCTCAGTAACTGCAGGAATGAATTAAACGTGTAGACTACAGGGAAAACATACTGCACATAAACAGTGGGATCTGTAAGATCCATCCCACAGGGGCAGGAGGTAAGAATGCTCAAACCAGTCATCTGGAGTAGAATGGGAAATGAATTGAATGGATGGAAGATGGTGGGAACCAGGATTCTACTGTCTGACTGGGAGTTACAGATAAGCAGGGGGAAGATGTACCCTGTCCATACAATAATGGATCATGTTGGAGGCATCAGTATAAACCCGTCTTCTGCTTAACATGAATACAGACATTTCCATATAGAAATCTCTATAATTAGGAGTGTATACTATTGGGGAGGGGGAAATTTCACTCTCTCTCTCTCTTGACTTCTCGTGGCTGGACTAATAATAAAACTAACGCAAGACAGAGCCACAGGAGAAAAGGAAATTTTAATTCCTACACACAGAAGTCTCATAGAAATGGGAAGTAAGAAGTAGTGAAAACAGGCAGATTTTATACATCTAGAAAACTATACACTTGCTAGCAACTGACAGCCCAAAGAAATGTAGCTTCTGGGTACTCAATGAAGAATCTAAAGAGTCTGGGCTTGGGGTGGTAAATTAAAGGAGTTACAAGTTATGTTTATATGCGCCTCTGAACCTTTCACATGACAGGCTTATTTCCTGATTTTATGGAGATAGAGCAGGGGTCAGAGTGTCCCTCTTGCTTTGGCCATTTCTAAGTAACTTTAATTTAAAACACTATGTGGTTGTGGCAGATTGGGGGAGGGATGGTGCTCCCTGAGCAACAACAATACACTAACATGGGAACATATACATACATTTCCTTGCATTGTCAGTGGAGAACATTTTCCTCCCATATGCAAATTCTTAATACCATTCTCTAATTAAAGGAGTCAGGACTCTTTGAAGAAATGGCTTCTACTAGGACTGAGACAGTCAATATATGAGCCAGGATAATCTTGACTCTTGTATCAGAAAGTAAGGAAGTACCAGGGGGGAAAAAAAAACCCAAAATATGGAATGATCTCAAAGGAAACAGGAGCCAATGAAAGAGTTCTCAGTAGCCAAAGTAGGAATGAACTGAGCTACCAAACCTGTAGTGCTGGATTATAACCAAAAGATTAAAATAACTATCCAGGTGTCCACAATGGTGAAGTTAAATGATGACATAGTATTGTTTTGTTTTTAATAAGTGAGATTGAATAGAAAGCTCCTATGCAGAAGTGTTCCTAATAATCCATGACATCCATCAAGGAGGTGGAGCTTATGCCCCCTCTCCTGAAGTATAGGTTCCACATAGTGACCTCCTCCTGTTTAGGTCAGAAGCAAAGAGAGTCTGAGATCCCATTGCTGGGCATGTATCCAGAGGAACACTCTAATGTGAAAAGACACTCTTTTTTTTTTTAACACAGTGGGCAAGATAAAATTGGGGAGAAAATTGTGTTTTCAACAAGTGGTGCCAGGCAATTGTCTATCCAGTGAAATTTTTTTGTTTCTAAGAGAAATGAAATTGGAACCCTGCTTCATACCACATGCAAAATTAACTCAAGATACATAAAAAGCTTAAATTTAAAGAGTGGTAAAGTGACAATCAGCAGTCATCTGCTGATTCCACATTTCCAGAACCAGTATCCTTCAGATAAAAAAAATAATAATAATTTGAGAAAGTTCCATAAAGAAAAACTTGAACTTGTGGCATGCCAGAAACTATTTAAATAACATTATATTTTCTTCACCATTATTTACATACCATTTACATTGTATTATTTAGTATAAGTGATCTAGAGATGATTTTAAGTATACAGGAAGCTGTGCTTAGATTATTTGCCAATACTACACCATTTTATATAATGGATTTCAGCACCGACAGACATTTAGTATCCACAGGGTGTCCTGGAACCAATACCTAACAGATAGGGAGGGAACAGATAGGGAGGGAAGCTGTATAAACTCTCAAAGAAACAATTGGGATAAGTCATCATGACCTTGGACTTAGCAATTTTTTTAGATTTGATAGCAAACACAAGGAAAGAAAAAAATAAATTGCCTTTCCTCAAAATTAAAGACATTTGTACATCAAAGATGCTATCCAGAAACTGAAAAGACAGCACACAAAATCAAAGAAAATATTTGCACATTATATACTTGAAAAAAATTTTATCAAGAATATATCAAGAACTTTTACAACTCATAAAAAGACAAAACAAACCCAATTTTTAACATGGTAAAAGGACTTAAATACACCCTTCTCTATATGTAAATTTAAAAAAAGTACAGTACATTGTATATATGTATTTACATGCAATATAATGTATATGTGCAGTCAAACAGTAATCATCTACCTTATAAAAGTGAAAAATAAGAAAAATCAATCAATAAATAAAATTAAATATTTTTTAAAGTAGACCCTTCTCCAGACAAGACAAATAGTCAACAAGCACATGAAAAAATGTTTAAAATCAGTCATGATGGAAATGTAAATTAATACCATAATGCCATACCCTTTCAAGCACACTAGAAGCCCTACGATCCAGAAAACTAAAAAAAAAAAAAAAAAAAAAGGAAAAGTGTAGAGAAATCGAAACTTTTAAACATTACTTGGAAAATTGGAAAATGGTACAGCTCATGTTTCCAGTTTGTCATTTCCTCAAAAAGATAAAAATACAGTTACCTTATGGTTCAACAACTTCACTCCTAGATATAGACCCCAAACATTAAAAATAGGTGTTCAAACAAAAAAAGGTACACAAATATTCATAGCAGCACTATTCACAATGGCCCCAAAGGTAGAACAATTGAAATGTCCATCAAAGGCTAAATAGATAAACAAATACTGTACATCCATAAACTGCCATATTATTCTGCCATATAAAGCAATAAAATGGTGCAGCCATGGTGGAGAACCAGACAGAAGTTCCTCAAAAACTTACACATGGGGTTGACATGTGATCCATCAATTCCACTTCAGGATATATGTTCAAAATATTTGAAAGCAGGAACTGGAATAGAAATGGGTACACCCATATCCATGGCAGCACTAATCACAATAGCAAAAGGTGGAAATAACTCACCTGTCCATCAGTGGATGAATGGATAAAGTACATGTAGTGTATACCCAATGGGATACTGCACAACCTTAAAAACTAAGGAAATTATGACACATGCTGCAACATAAATAAATCTTGAAGTCACTATGCTAAGTGAAATAAGCCAGTCACAGAAGGACAAATGTTTTATGATTCCCCTTATACAAGGCATCCAGAGAAGTCAAATGTAGAGACAGAAAGAGTGTCACTGCCAGGGGCTGAGGGGAGTTAGTGTTCACTGGATACAGGGTTTCACTTGGGGAAAATGAATAAGTTCTGGAGATGGATGGTGAGGCATCTGTACAACAATGTGAATCTAATTAATACCATAGAACTGCATGTTTAAATGGTAAATGTTATGTCCTGTATTTTTAATGACAATGAAAAATGTGAATGAATCACTAATGACTCCAATTGGATAAAGATTGAAAACATTCTAAGTGAAAGGAGACACACAGAAGAGGCCACCCAGATCGTATTCATCTTGTGCGCCTTAAATCCATTAAGATTTTGAAAAAGAGGGAAACTCTCAGTAATAGTTTCAGAAAAAGAAAACTGACACAGAATGGAAAAAAGGATTTCCGTAAGCTGGGGCAAAGGGGAAGGCTGAAGTGGGCCTGTGGATGCGATTACAAGGTGAACCATACAATTTCTTCATTTGTAGTTTATGTGCTGGTTCCCTGGGAAAGTATCCCAGTTTTAGGTAAAACCCACTGGAGTATTTTATGTGAAGTGTCAAATGTGAGTACTGTGTAATGCTATTTAAAGTATTTTATATGGAACTTTATAAGAAAACTTTAGAAGAAACTTTATTAAAAACTGTATTACTTTTGAAAATAACCATGTCAATACCACACCAAAAAAGCAGAGAAGAATTCAGATTTCCCTATAGAGGCCCACCTTTAACGCGATCCAGTTCACCCAAAGTGCTGATGCTCATCGCCCTTGCAGGAGTCCACATGTAACTTAAAGGCACTGTGGGAAGATTAGGAGCCACTGTGTCTTAGGTACTGTGGATGACCCAGATGGAGTCCAAACAGAGTGAATTCTGATTTCTAGTTTTCCACATCAAACCATCAAAAAACTGTTAGAACTAATGAATCATTGCAGTAAAGCTACAGGGGACAAAACCAATACACAAAAATCAGTTGTCTTTCTATACATTTATAAGGAAACATCAGAAAGAGACTTTTTTTAAATCCCATTTACAATTGCATCCAAAAAAAACCTATCAATAAACTGAATCAAGGATGTGAAAGACCTGCACGCTGAAAATTCTAAGACACTGAGGAAAGAAACTGAACAGACACAAATAAATGGAAAGTTACCCTGTGCTCATGGACAGAAAGAATTAATATTGTTAAAATGCCCGTTCTACCCAAAGCAGTGTCCAAATTCAAAGCAAGTCTCGTCAAATCATTATGCCCTACACTAGAAAATAACAGAACACTGTGAATTGACTATACTTCAATAAAATAAAATAAACCTCAGTGGTATTTTTCACAGAAACAGAACAAACATTCCTAACATTCCTGTGGAAACACAAAGGACCCTGAACAGCCAAAGAGGTTCTATAAAAGGGAAACAGGCTGGAGGCATCTCCTTCCCTGACTTCACAGGGCATTACAAAAGCACAGTCACCAAAGAATTGTGGAACTGGCACAACAGAGAGGCTGCAAATAAACCTCTGGGGATATGGTGAGTTAACTCACAAGAAAGGAGCCAGGGAAAGGACCAGGGAAAGGACAGTCCCCTTGATGAATGGTTCTGGGAAAACTGGACACCACACACCAAAGAAGGACACGGCACACTGTCTGCACCACACACAAAACCTGACTAAAACCCACAGCTTCTCACATCCAGCCCTTCCTCTGCTGGGGCCTCTGAGGAGGAGGGCCTCCCCTCAGCAGTCAGCCCCTTGTGGGAAACTTCTCACTGTCCCTCACTTTTCCTTCCTCCTCACCTTCCCTTCAGTGCAGCACCTCCTGTTGGGTCCTGAGGAGACGGGGCTCCTGTCAGCGGGGACATAACCCCCTGCTGTCCCGAAGCCCCAGCAGGTCCAGAGGAGACGCGGCTCCAGTCAGCTGCGCAGGACGCCAGATCCTCAGGCAGAACGCACGCGAGTTCCCGCCGCAGCTGGGGGAGGTGGGCTCTGGGCCCCGCCAGCCAATGAGAAAGCGCGGGCCCAGCCGCCCTCAAAGCCAGCAGAGGCCCCGCGCCGACAGCGGCTCTGCTCAATCCTGTAAACTGGGAATTCAAATGAAATAGAGCCCAATATCTGTAACTTCTCCAAATACTTAGAAACAATCAATCGGAAGCCTTACGGAATGAAGTGAATGGAGACACAAACTTTAAAACTTACACCTTTGTTTACTGAGCTTTCGTGACAACCTGCGGTAAATGAATTCCTCCCTCCCTCCCTGAGGCCTTGCTTTTGTTTTTAGCTGAAGGTGATATTTAAGGTGATGCTTTTGACCATTTCAGGGAGGGACTCAGTTTTCTTGGGTATCTCCCCTGTATACAGGATGTATACATGTTATTAAACTTGCTTCTTTTTCTCCCTGTAATCTGTCTTATTGGGGGGGGGGTGTTAACCAAGAGCCTAGAAGGGGAGAGGGGAAACTTATTTTCCTCCCATACACTCGCAGTGGAATACTACTCAGTAATAGAAATTAAACCATCAACCCACGGAAAGACATGGGTAAATCTTACTTATCTATTACTAAGTGAAAGAATCCAGTCTGAGAAGGCTGCACACAGTATGACCCTATTTATGACAATTATGGAAAAGGCAAAACTACTTACATGAGCAGATCATGGGGTGGGGGTGGGGATTGAAGTATTCCATGTGAAACTTTAGGTTGGAGTCACTATAATTATGCCTAAGTCAACACCTTTGCCCAAAGGTCAATCATAATCTATTCAAATTTAGTTGTTTAGGGTATAGCAGCATCACACGATGGAACATACAATGTGACAGAATCTAACTGTATTAGAAATGGGTGGAAAAACTCACAGTCAGTGGTGGGGCAAAAGGTGCTGACTGACCTAAGTTAACTTTGGAAATGTACAGAATAATTTTGCAAAGGCAAAATATACCACTGTTAAACTGTGGGCTTTATATTACAAAGTTCTTTCCAGGGTATAGTGGCTAACAATTCTGAAACCACTGTGAATGTAACCTGGAAAAGAGAAATGAGTTGATAAAGGGAAGGTGGTGGGAGCCAGGCTCCTCGCTGTGGGAATAGGAAGTCACAGATGAGCAAGGGGAGAGCCTTGGCCCTCATACTCCTGGATCTGAATTTCCTAGGTGGATGGTGTGGGGAGTGGACTGGCCAGGGGAAGGCACAGCTCTTTACCCTGGGAAAGTCCTGCAGATGTAGGAACTTCACACCCCTTCCTTCCCCCCATACCTGCTAGAAATAATCAGACCTCTGAAATCAGCCAATGCAGCTTTAAGACATTCTCACCCTGAGGCAGATAAAGGAGCATGAGGGTCTTGAACCACCCCCAAGCTATCCCAGAATCCAGGCCCTGGAGGGTGGAGCCAGGATAGGGTGCTTGGCTCTCTGACCAGCAGGCCAAAGCAAGGAAAAAGACCAGTCCTGAGGGCAGGGGTCTCCTGAGGTCTGTGAGCCTGGTGCCTTGATGGGGTTCATTCCCTGTGGGAACATGAGTGGGGCCTGCACTGGTTATGTTTTCCACCTGAGCCCCCTGGATGAAGCCAGGGCAGAACTGGACTCAGGGATCCCCTGGCAGTGTTTCAAACTCTGACACAGTGGCTTTATAAAGGAATAGGAGAGTGACTGAGCATCTGACAGCCAATTCTCTCTGGTCTGAGCTGCTTCCATCAGGACCACAGTCCCCTGCATGGAGTCTGCTGTAATCCACCTGCCCCCACCTGGGCTTTCCCCTTCTTCCCTGGACTCCTGACCCAGGTCAGATGCCTCTGTCCAAACACTGTGTCCCCCTCTCACTTTGGGGATAGTATGTCTGCTGTAACCCACCAGCCCTGACCCAGCCTCTCCTCTTCTTCCCTGGACCCCACTCCTAGGCCAGATGCATCTGTCTAACCACTACATCCCCCTCTCACCTTGAGACTGACAGGCCCTTCACAGGGCTGTGATCCTGCCACTCCCTACACCCCAGAAAGCAGCCCCACCTTCCCTGTTTGCTGAGCCAAGACACCTGGGGCTTCCCAGTCCCCCACTTTCCTTGTGCCTTGGTGACTGTCAGCTCTCCCTCCCAAAATCCCAGGTGGTGTTTTGCAGAAATTGACAACCAATCTAAAATTCACATGGAAAAGGCAAGGGGCTCAGAATAGATCATCCTGAAAAAAGAAGAACAAACTTGGAGGTATAGAAACCCAGGCAGACCCCTATAGTTGGTATAAAGACACTTAAGCTGAAGATACTTGAGATTTAGATGCAGGAAAAAACCCTTCTTGGAGCTCCCCTTATCTGAATAAAAGCAGAAACTTCTGAGGAATGACTACAGCTATCAATTACCTCATCAGAGTGGCTTCTATTCCCAGGAGAGAGACCAACAGTCAACCTACCATAAATGCCTTCAGTGGGATGTTTTAGGACCCAGAGGAAGAGGCAAAGACCACTCATCTGTGTACAGACACAGATTATGTGTGTAGACATAATAACATGGGTACAGGTCCATGTAGACAACAGATTATGCTGCCATCAAGCCATCAGCCACTGCAGCAGCTGCCTCCCAAAGGTGCACCCTGAGGGGAATTTAGGATTAAAAAAAAAAAAGAATACTGACCCTAGACAGTTAAGGTGCATATCAAAGGAATAATTTCAATGAGCCCAGATGCTTGAATCTTCCCATACACAGAAAAACACTAAAATCCTTAACATAAGATGTATGTTTTTCATTATTAGCAATAGTCTTTTAATGTTTGAATACGTTTTTTTCAGCAAAAACTCATATAACCTGGCTCCTCCCTTACCTCTTTGGAACAGTTCCTCAGAGCTATGTGAGGAGCTGTTTCCAGGCTACAGTCCTCAGCCATGTCCCCAAATAAAATGTAATTATCAACTTTTAGGTTGTGCTTTTTTTCATTAGACACCTACAAACATGAAAGTATCAGACGGGGCCTGGGGCTCCTTTCCAACACTCCCCAAACATGGTTTCACAGAGCACACAAATGGAGAACTATTGGCATCTGGACCATAATCAGTTTTCATTAACAATAAGAAGTGAGCTGCCTGTGCCTTTCCAGAGCTACATCTTGCTTAGCCAGCATCCAGGCCCCTGTGTTACTGCTGTATTGCCCTGCTCCTTGTGCTCACATTCCAGAGCTAGTACAAGACAGAAAAAGACGGCAGTACTGAGTCACTCACACTTTTTTAAAATTGAAATATAGTCCATTTACAATGTTGTGTCACTCTTGGGGCACAGCATGATAGTTCAGTCATATGTATATATACATATGTTCTTTTTCATATTCTTTTGCATGATAGGTGACTGCAGGATATTGAATATAGTTCCCTGTGCTCTACAGCAGAACCTTGTTATATATATATATATATATATAGTAGTTAGTATCTGCAAATCTCAAACTCCCACTTTATCCCTTTCCACCCCCTTTCCCCAACTTCACTTCCTATAAGTTTGTCTTCTATGTCTGTGTCTGTTTCTGTTTTGTAAATAAGTTCATTTGTCTTTTTAAAAAATATTCCACATATAAGTAATATCATTTGTTATTTTTCTTTCTCTTTCTGGCTTACTTCACTTACAATGATGATCTCCAGGTCCACCACTGTTGCTGCAAATGGCATTATTGTATTCTTTTCTACGGCTGAGTAGTATTCCATTGTATAAATATACCACAACTTCTTTAACCAGCCGTCTGTTGATGGACATTTAGGTTGTTTCCATTTCTTGGCTGTTGTGAATAGTGCTGTTACAAACATTGGGGTGCATGTGTCTTTTCAAATTAAAGTTCCCTCTGAACATATGCCCAGGAGTCATTCACACTTTTATTGGTGCCTGTAATGCCTGGGCCTGTGTTAGGCAATAGGCAGCCATAGTCAAATGTTAGATAATTTGTACAGTAAAGGGGCAGATAATTTATATGATAAAGTAGACTTTTGCTGCTACTTAACATTTTCTTCACAAATCTAAGGTCACTCAAAGGTAAATAAGGAAATAATTGAATGTTTAGGGAATGGAAGCAGAGAGTAAAACTGTAACTTTCTGTTGCTGTTTCTTTTTTTAAGTCAAAGATTTCCACTTTAAAGGTGAGGAAATTGAAACCAGAGAGAAGGAAATCTGCATGTAAGGTCCAAATCAGTGCATTGAGATCTCTGATATAACCAGCATGAGACTAGCCCATTGCCGTAAGCAACTAGAAAAATGACCAAACATATGAAGCAAATGTTTTCAGAAACTGCACATCAGGTAGAAAGGACTGTGTTCCTTGAGTTCCTTGAGTGAAGAGATATAAATTGACCCTACTATGATGGTTTAAATAGGCCCACAAATTCCTTGATCATTTCAAGAGGGAGAGCCTAATTCCTCTACCTTTGATTGTGGGCTGAATTTAGAGTTTTGCATTTAACAAACAAAAAATCATGTAACATAGCCAGAAATAGAAAGAAAAATGCTATATGATATCACTTAAGTGTGGAATCTTAAAAAAAAAAAAGACACAAATGAACTTAATGAAAAACAGAAACAGAGTCACAGACATAAAGAACAAGCTTATGGTTACCAGTGGGTAAACGGGGTGGGAAGGGGTAAATCAGGAGTTTAAAATTCGCACTTCTTGGGGAATGATGGAAATGTTACCTAT